CCACCGTCGCCCTTACCTTCTGAAGCCAGGCAAGGAGTTACTGGGAGGGGAGGGAGAGGGGCGGGGCGGGGCCAGCCAGTGGCGGGATTGACATGGAACCACAGCAGAGGGCCCAAAGAGCCACATGCGGCTCCAGAGCCACAGGTTGCTGACACCTGGACTAAGGCAAGGCAACTGACTCAACAACTCTATGACCGATAATGTAGAAGAAGAGTGGATAGAGCTGGAGGGTAGCATCAAGCAAGTCACCAGCCTAGAATCATTACATTCCCACAAATGGTCCCAAGTCTAACCCTTCTTGAATCCCGTGGACCCTTATCAGGCTCCAACTCAGTACAGGTAGTCTTCGATTTACAACAGTTCGTTTAGTGACCGTTCAAAGTTCCAACGGCACTGAAAAAAGTCACTTATGACCATTTCTCCCAGTTACGACCTTTGTAGTGTACCCACGATCATGTGAACCTCATGTGAAAATCATCGTGTGAAATTCAGATGCTTGGAAGTTGGTTCGTACTTATGACCGTTGCTGTGTCCCAAGGTCACGGGATCCCCTTTTGCGACCTTCTGACAAGCGAAGTCAATGGGGAAGCCAGATTCACTTAACAACCGGGTTCCTAACTTCAGTGATTCACTGAACAGCTGCGGCAAGAAAAGTCGTAAACTGGGGCAAAACGCACTTTACGAATGTCTCACTTAACAACCTACACCTTGGGCTTAATTGTGGTTGTAGGCCGAGGATCACCTGTATCGAAGTTTAGCTCACTAGATTCTTCTGCAAGGGCTTGAGCAATAAATCTTAACCGCAATTTAACGTACGGTCCCGATTCTTTGTGAGGAATTTAGTCGCAGGTTCAAGTACCGTATTTTTCCGTCTATAAGATGCCCCATGTATAGGACGCCCCCATGTTTCATGTAGAGTCAGTAAGCAAGCAAGCACACTACAAGCCATCCCTGTGCAGAAGCCAGCTTATTAGAACAGGAAATGCATCACAGGAACAATCAAGATGAAACCTAGACTGGCAATGTGATACAGGAAACAATTACAATAGAGAGGAATGATAGAACTGGAGAATGGGGATGGGCCACGCCTTTATTCCTTGGCCTCTTGTGTATAAGACGCTCCTCCATTTTCAAGTAAATACCGTATTTTTTGGACTATAAGATGCACTTTTTGTCTCCCAAAAGGGGGTGAAAATATCTGTGTGTCTTCTAGACCGAATATTGCCGAAGTGCCGCCCAGCCGTTTTTTGGCCTGCGCACACCCTATTTTGGGGCCTTTTTCAGGCTTTTTTTTCAGCCCGTTTTCGAGGATTTTTTCAGCCCATTTTGGAGGCTTTTCCCGGCCCGTTTTCGAGGATTTTTTCAGCCCGTTTTCCAAAACAAAAGGCCGAAAAAGCCTCAAAAACAGGCTGAGAAAAGCCTCAAAAAGGGATTAAAAAAAAGCCTCAAAAACGGGCAAAAATAGCGTCGAAAACAGGCCGAAAAAAGGCTGGAAAAGGGCCCGAAAATGGGCCGCGTGGAGGCAAAAAAATTTTTTTTTGTTCTTTTCCTCTTCTAAATTTAGCTGCATCTTAAAGTCAGGTGCGTTTTATAGTCCGAAAAATACGGTATTGTAAAGAAAAAGTAGTGTCTTATACACAGAAAAATACGGTATCTCTCCTTACCCAGCTTCTCCCAAAGAAAGGGGACAAGAGATCCGTACAAAGCAGGACCCAAAGGTTACCTCTGCTGCTTCTCTCGACGCACCATCTCCTTCAGCTTGAAGGCGGCCTCGCAACGCCGGCGACGCCGATCCCCCCGCTCCGCGGCCTCCATCTTCAGTTGCTCGCGCTTGTAACTCCGCTGGAAGGCCGTGATTAGTCGCCGCAAACGGGCGGTAAGCGCAGAGGCTGGAGGCCAGAAAAGATTCCCTGGCTGACCTAGAGAATGATGACAGGGATGGCCATGTGACTCTTGCATCCTTCCAGGCCACCACTTGATCCTCTTCTCAAGGTAGAGATACAGATTACAGGTGAACAGAGTTGGAAGGGACCTTTTAGGTCATCTAGTCCAACCCCTCCCTTGACCTAAGCAGAAGACCCTACACCATTTCTGACAGATGGCAGTGCAGTATCTTCTTCAAAGCCTCCAGTAATGAAACTACCACAACCTCTGAAGGCAACTTCTGTTCCATTGGTTGATTGCTCTCGCTGTCAGAAAATTTCTCCTTATTTCCAGGTTGAATCTCTCCTTGATCAGTTTCCATTCATTATTCCTTGTCTGGCCTTTAGGTGCCTTGGAAAATAGCTCGATCCCTTCCGCTCTGTGGCAGCCCCTCAAATATTGGAAGATTCTTATCATGTCTCCCCTGGTCCTTCTCTTCACTAGACTCGGCATGCCCAGTTCCTGCAACTGTTCATCGTATGTTTTCACCTCCAGTCCCCTAATCGTATTGGTTGCTCTTCTCTGCACTCTTTCTAGAGTCTCAACATCTTATAGTGTGGTGACCAAAACTGGATGCAGTACTCTAGGTGTGGCCTTACTAAGGCTTTATTTTTATTTATTTTTTTGTCTTTTAATGACCCCATAATCCCTTACATTGGGGTGGAGTTGGGGCAACTGAATGGAGCTGAGGGTTTACTGGCCGGATGCCCTTCCTGTTGCCAATGCGGAGTTCGCAGCAGATAATTACTCATTGTGCCCAGAGAGAGAAATATCTGCCGCTACCTAGGATTGAACTCACAGCCTCCTGATTGTGAGGCGAGAGCTCCACCTCTAAGGCAACTGCACCACTCTTATTACGGCTTTGTATAATTACCTTCCTCCCCGTCCACCACCGATATGTCTTCATCCATCATCATTAATGCTTCGCCCTGGAATGGAGAAATTAGTGCTATTAAGCTGAATTGCCAAGTACCCTTATAGTCGGGGATGATGGTTTTGTTGGCCTAAGAGTCACACGTTTGCATTACTTGTGGAAACAGGATCCGGCTGGTGAAAACATGGAAGCAGATGGACGTTTTCGAACATTTCCCCATGTTTTTCCATAACTCAAATTTCCCAAAGGAAAAAAATATTATTCCCATTAGTTTGCTTTGCAAGACGTGAAATAGCCTTTTTTGCCTTTAAAACTTCCCTCAGGCACCCCAAAAAGTATGGCTGGGGTGGGGATGAGGAAGCAGCTACAAGCTACTTTTCCCTTGTTTAGTACATCTGTATGTACTGTATTTTTTGGACTATATGAAGCACCTAATTTTAGGGAGGGGGAAGTTTTTGGCCTCCAGGCGCCACATTTTTGGCCATTTTTTTGACCATTTTCCAGCCTTTTTTTGGCCCGTTTTCGAGGCTTTTTTTGGCCTGTTTTTTCAAAAAAAGGGCCGAAAAAAGCCTCAAAAATGAGCTGAAAAAAGCTGGAAAAGGCTGAAAAAAGCCTCAAAAACAGGCCAAAAAAAGCTACAAAAATGGACTGAAAAAACCCCCCCTCAAAAACAGGAAAAAAAACCCTAAAAAACGGGCCAAAAAAAGGCCCGAAAAGGGGCGAAAAAAGGCCCGAAAATGGGGTGTGCGAAGCCCAGAAAAATGGACTGAAAAAAAAAACCCTCAAAAACAGGCGAAAAAAAGCTTAAAAAACGGGCCAAAAAAAGGGCTGAAAAAGGGCAAAAAAAGGCCCGAAAATGGGGCGTGCGAAGCCCAGAAAAACAGCCAGCGTGTGGGCTGGGCTTCGGCAATATTCAGTCTATAAGACATGCAGACATTTTCACCCACTTTTGGGAGACAAAAAAGTGTATCTTATAGTCTGAAAAATTTGGTAGTTTAATTCATCCCAAAGGACGTTCGTGGAGATTCTCAGTCATCTAGGTCGTAATTTTTCAAAAGGCAACCGGAAAGGGTTCCCTCACCCTTCCCCTCAAAGGAAGAAGAAAAAAAGGTTTCGCTTTTCATCCAAGAAGCTTCATCGGTTCTGGCAGGAAGCTGGGGACAATGAAAGGATTACTTCTGATAGGATTTTTTTTTGGAGGGGAAGGGTTGGAAGCATTGACCAGAGGACTGCAAAGAAATATGATCCTTCCAACCTCCACACATACCCCCCAAAAAATCCTGTCAGATCTGTAATTTTTCCATCTCTCCTCCTGCCAGAAGCAATGAAGCTTTTCTTGGATGAGAAGCGAAACTTCTTTTTCTTCTTGGAGAAAAAAAAAAAAAAACCCAGACAGCCCAACTGCCTTTTGAAAAAAGCACCTTTGAGATCCCGAAAGATATTTTCTTTTTTTAAACAACAGTTTATTTATACATTTTCTCTATACATACATAAGGGCTTTGTGAACAGCATATTGTCTGGATCAATTTGCTTACCTAATAATTCTTTTCCAGTTCCTAATGTCTATCTCTATTGTCTAACCATTGATAAAACAAGTTCCCATGTTTGAAAATATTCCGTATCTTCTTTTTCTTTTATCTTTAATGTCAATCTGTCCATTTCTGCACAGTCTAGTATTTTTTAAAAAAAATTACATCTTCTTCTGTAGGTGTTTCTTCATTTTTCCAGTACTGTGCAAATACCGAAGGATATTCTAACATTGAAACGCACTGGGAAGAATCTGGGAATGGCACACGCCCCCACGACCCATTTTGGCGCGCCGCTCCCCCTGCACATGTAGATGTGAGATTCCCCCACCCCGAACATGCGCGTGTCTCCCGCATGCGCCCTGCCCCCGCATCAGAGACCTGAAAATCAGATGGCCGGCAGGATGCACGTGTGCATACTCAGTGGAGCTGAGCTGAGCGACGGTTTCCGTGCCCGCAGAGAGGGCTCCTTGTCATAGGTTTGCCATCACAGGGCTATATTAACAGTGCAATTAGGTTTAGGGCCTCACCTCTTCGTCGTGTTCCTTGGCAGGGGCTCCGACCGGTTTGTATTCCGGATCCTCGCAGTCCTTGTCAAAATCCACCCTGTCAATGACATAAGAACCAGTCAATTATTGCAGCAGAAATCCCCGCATCCTTTCCCCCGCTTTCTAGACACACCTCAGGACTTCCTTTGAGAAGCAATTTTAACTCACAGACACCCGAGTTTAAGGGCCAGTGGTCCCCCTCGGTGCCTCGGTATTAGCATGGCGAGTCATCATAGGTGTGCGTCCCACCCACCGCCCCGATCTTCCCTGTGCCCCCTAGCCTTGGGAATGGCTCAACTCGACCCCAAGCGGCCTCTTACCCCTCGCCCACATCCGGTCGGTGCTCAGCGGCAATGGCCTTGTCATCCGGGCGGCCGGCTTTCTCCAGGAAACAGAGCGCAGGGTCGGCTCGCATGGTGTTGTACTTCTCGTAGCCTGAAAGGGAGAGCCAAACATCAGTGCCTCAAGTGTTTATGTCCCATGTAACCTCAGGCAGAGGTTAGAATCGGGGTGCTATTCAGCAGGTTCTGGAGAACCGGTAGCGGAAATTTTGAGTAGTTTGGAGAACTGGCAAATACCACTTCTGACTGGCCCCAGAGTGGGGTGGGAATGGAGATTCTGCAGTATCCTTCCCCACCACGCCCACCAAGCTACACCGCGCCCACCAAGCCATGTCCACAGAACCGGTAGTAAAAAAAAATTTGAATTCCACCATTGGTTAGAATATAAAGTAAGCTTCCCGGTTAAGCCTGGCGTTCCTTAGAGGTCTCCCATCCAAGAGTAACCAGGTCTGATTCAACTTCATTTACAGGTCTAAAGTTGGCCTATAGAAATAGCGCTTAGACTTATATATACCACTTCATACTGCTTTACAGCCCACTCTAAGCAGTTTCCAAAGTCAGCAATATTGCCTCCAACAACGAGCTGGGTGCTCATTTTACCGACCTCGGAAGGATGGAAGGCTGAGTTCAACCTTGAGCCGGTGAGAATTGAACTGCTGGCAGTCGTCAGAGTTAGCCTGCAATACTGCATTCTAACCACTATGCCACCACGACTCTTGTGCCTCTGCTTGTTGAGATGTTCAAAACATTTAGAATTTTAGATTCTACAAATCCCTGGCCAAGAATCTACAGTTTATTCTTGGCCTATATTTTAATATTCTTCTTCTCAGAAAACGTTTGGTTTTTTTCTTGCGTGTCTGATTATCTTCTAGCTTGATCTGCAAGTACGTGCTTGGGAGATGCAAAACTTCCTTCTAATATGTTTATTGGCATGTTTGTTGTTTTGTTGTTTTTGGAGTCCTCTCGATTAAATTCATTCAGACTGTGTATAATTTAGATTTGGCAGCTTCTCTCCACTGATCGTTTATAGGTTAGTCCTTGACTTATGACCACCATAGGGACAGGAATTTCCACTGCTAAGCAAGCCGTTGCTATTTTAGGATCGCTGTAGTTGTTAAGGAATCTGCCAGTTAGGTGTAAGCAAATAAAGGACTGGTACTCGACTGGATCTCACCGTCTCATCTCTGTTTTGGGCTTCGCAGCTTTTATTTATTTATTTATTTATTTATTTTATTTCTATACCGCCCTTCTCCCGAAGGACTCAGGGCGGTGTACAGCCTGCTCGTCCTTCCAAAAGGAAGGGGCATGCATTCCCAGGGATGGGCTTCAAAAATTTTTAGCAAGGGGCTGTCTGCCCGGTTGCTGGGTGGGCGTGGCCATGGTGGGCGTGGCCTAGTTGGCCTCCTGCACCACAGCGGGGTGGGCATTTTTGCCCACCCTGGGCTCCAGAGGCTTTCCTTGAGCTTCTGAGGGGGGGGCGAAAACAGCCTCCCCAGGCTCCAGAGGCCAAAAACAGGCCCGTTTTCTGAACTGCAATGCTCTCTACATGGGGCTCCCCTTGAGGAGCACCCGGAGGCTCCAGCTGGTCCAGAATACGGCCGCGCGGGTAATTATGGGGGCGACATGGCGCTCCCATGTAACACCTCTCCTGTGCGAGCTGCACTGGCTCCTGGTGGTCTTCCGGGTGCGCTTCAAGGTATTGGTTCTCATCTTTAAAGCGCTCCATGGCTTAGGGCCCGGGTACTTACGAGACCACCTTCTGCCACCGATAACCTCCCACCGGCCAATTCGCTCCCACAGAGAGGGTCTCCTCAGGGTGCCGTCGGTCAAGCAATGTCGACTGACGACCCCCAGGGGGAGAGCCTTCTCTGTGGGGGCATCCGCCCTCTGGAACGAGCTACCCCCAGGAATACGACTGATCCCGGACCTCCGTACTTTCCGCCGAGCGTTAAAGACCTTCTTATTCCAGCAAGCCGGGCTGGCTGAAAATTTTAATGGGTTATTTTATGGGGAAAGGGTTTTAAAATTTAGGGAAGCCAAACTGATTTAACTCTTTTTAATTCTTTTTAATTTTTATACTGTATGTGTTTTAAATTTTGGCTGTTCACCGCCCTGAGTCCTTCAGGAGAAGGGCGGTATACAAATTTAAATAATAAATAAATAAATAAATAAACTTCCGGTAGGCTCATTTTTCACCCTCCCTGAGCCTCTGTGCGCGCCCTGCATTTACTTGCATCCAAAACAGGCTGCGTGGGGACTCCTGGGAGGGGTGGGGCGGGTGGGGCGGGGCCAGCCAGGAGTGGGATTTGGGGGTTCTCCGAACTGCACAGAATCTTAGCTAGAGGTTCTCCTGAACCCCTGCGACGCCCCTCAACAGCCCACCCCTGTGCATTCCTGTCCAAAAGTTATTACTCACCATGTTTGAAGACCCCAAGGAGCAAAGATTTGTCCGCTTCCGTGTCCCACCAAGCTGTGGGGACTTCTGCCTGATCCACGAGCGGAAACCAGATGTCAGTTTCGCTGCAGGAATTGAGATGGGAAAGAGAAACAAAACAAGACAAGACAAAGGCGTTGTGAGATTGTTCCACAGGAACCAAGACAACTTTCCAAAATCCTAGCTCTGCTTTCATAGCCTTACTCATAGCGCAGAGTGGATTGCCCTTAGATCGGGGTAGTCAAACACAAGGCCCGCAGGCCGCATCCGGGCCGCCATGTGGTCGGATCCGGCTCGTGGGGCTGTTCTGGAAAATGTAAGCCGTGTGGCTTCGGCCTGGTCTACCCAATGCAAAGAGGAAATATGCCAGCAGTTTGGGGAGTGGCGTCAAGCTGGCCATGCCCACCCAGTCGCCCCCCCCCCGAGGTCAACCTCAGCCCTGGTGCGGCCCTCAATGAAATTGAGTTTGACACCTCTGCCTTAAGATGCACCGCAGTAATCCGTTTACAACAAAAAAATAAATAAGAGAGGTTTTTTTTTTACCAGGACAAAATGACTGACTTGGGGGAAATACATATGTTTAATAAAGAAATGAACAAACTCAGGCGTTGCTAAGGAGATGCCACAACGGCATATCGTTAAGAACCTTTATCTGGTGGTTGGGCGTCTTTAAAAATCAGAATAACGTGAGTTGGAAGGGACCTTGGAGGTCTTCTAGTCCAACCCCCTTCTCAAGCAGGAGGCCCTATACACAAATGGTTGTCCAGTCCTCTTCTTAAAAGAAGGAATCGAAGAAACACACCGCTAAAAGGAAAAGGTTTCTGTCAGGAAATCCACGGAGACAATCGATGCCCGTTTCCCTTCCCAACCAAACCTCCTTCCGTTGGTTATAACGGCAAAGTCGTCGTACAAAAACAAAATGTGGCGTGTCAGTAATTGGGAGGAAAAAAACACACAGAACAGCCCCCCCCTCCCCCAGGCAACCTTTGTAAAGGTGAACATTTTTTTACCTGGAAACAGCACCTGCCAACACTTTCTCGGCCTGGTCCCCGATCACCTCCTGACGCAAGTAATAAAGCATTCGGACCCTGAGCAGTACCCTAAGAGGGAAAAATAATACCTTTCTGTTGGAAGGGCCAAGCATCGTTCGATAAATTGCACCCACCCACGTTCCAAGACATTGGCCGTCTCCACTGTTAAGTCAGTGATGAGGGCAAAAGTTTTTATTTTTTTTATTTTTTCAATCAACAGAGGCACATCCACCTGCAAGCAGCAAGGAGCTCTCAATTGCCCCAGCTTGCTAATTCCCTACCCCCCCCCCTTTTTTTTATATATATAGACATATAAACTTAAAGGCCAGTTTGATGTAGTAGGGAAAGTGATGGGCCTAGAAACCAGGAGACAGGGAGTTCTAGTCCCATCTCAGGCACAAAAGCCGGCGTGGCACCAGGAAAACCAGGAGTTCTAGTCCCGTTTTAGGTGTGAAACCGTCTAGATGACTTTGGGCCAACGACCAGGAGATGGTGAGTTCTAACGCCGCCTGAGGCGTGGAAGCCAAGCCGGCTGGGTGAATTTGGGCCAATTGTCAGGAGACTTGGGAGTTCTAGTCCCGCTTTAGGCATGAAAGCCAGCTGGGTGAACTTAGGGCCAGTCACTCTCTTTATCAACCCAATTTACCTCACAGTTGTTATTGTGGGGGGAAAAGGGAAGAAGGAATATTATCTATGTTTGTTGCCTTGAGTTATGTATGAAGTAATAAAGGCGGGATAAAAATCATATGGAGAGAGAGAGTGAGAGAGAGAGAAAGAGAGATAGATGGATGGACGGACATAGGGAGATAGATAGATAGATAGGGATGGATGGATGGATGGATGGACATAGGTAGATGATTGAGATATTGAGATAGATAGATAGATAGATAGATGGATGGATGGATGGATAGATAGGGATGGATGCATGGATGGATGGATGGATGGACCTAGGTAGATGATTGAGATAGATAGATAGATAGATAGATAGATAGATAGATAGATAGATAGATAGATAGGGATGGATGGATGGATGGATGGATGGATGGACGGACATAGGTAGATAATTGAGACAGGTAGATAGCTAGATAATGATAGAGATAGATAAGATGGTTATATAGGCAGACAGACAGACAGACAGACAGACAGACAGACATGGATGGATGAATGAATGAATGAATGAATGAATGAATGAATGAATGAATGAAATGGACAGCATTACCACCATGCAAATATTTTTCAGTGGATCACACATGGCCTCTTCAACAGCAAATTGAGAAATTGACAAAACCAAAATTTTTGAAGATTGTGGTTGGGATCTGTCACTATCTGTCTATCACACTGGAGCTCCCATCTTTTCTGCATGGAAAAAGATGGGGACCCAGGGAGTTGGCTTGTACTGGCTTTACAGAAGCACCCCGAGCTGGACTGTCCCT